AGAGAGATAGCCCTGGGCGACAGTCAGGAGTGCTAACAATTCGATAGATTATACGATATAAATGCCACATACTCTAAGATCCGACCCCTCGCGCTGTGTCGCGTACCGCTGGAAATTTATACGCCGTGTGGCAGCTGCTTTAAGGGCGTCACGAAATGCTGTAATTTGATGAGCGTTCACATTTGTCCCTTCGGTGTACATCCGGATTGTTTTCATACTTGGCCTGTCGTAGTTCTCGCCATATCCATGTGTATATATATATTGTATTGCCGTCCTCGACAGCTTGCTGGGTCAGCCCGGCTGAGCTTTGATTGGGACTGATCTATGGCGCACTTTGTTAAAACTATATCATTTGAAACCCTAGTGGGTTACTGCCCCTCATGAACCTCCGAGTCCGGCAGTAATCCCTTTTCTGGATTTAGCCCCAAGAAAAAAACGTATCGGGATCCCAGTGCTCTTCCCGGAACCCTAGCCTGAGCATTTGCTCTACAATGTACGATTGCGGCGTAGCGCTAGGAGTGGATATAAGGTAAAGGGTTTGATCGTTAATAATTTATTGATACTACTTTCGCGAGTCAGGAACCCCTGCGCACAGGGCACCGGTAGTTCCATGGTTCGCGTCGACAGGGCCCCACTGTCTATGTACCTCCCGTCCATCCCGAATTAAATGACCGCTAGGAAGGGAAGATCAAACATAGTTGGGGTTGCTTTAGTAAATTTACGTACTTTGATTGTTTACCCTTGATCTTTACCGCAACGGGGGAGTTTTTTTGTTTTGGCTGGTGAAAAGGTTGCTTCTAGGCTGGAGAACATCTTGACTTATGATATTATGTCTAAAGAACTACAGTATCGATTAAAGATATAATCATATCATTAAGCTAAGTCTTAGGGCAGCGCCTTTTCTGTTGTTCTATTTCTCCGGCTTGGTTAAAGGGCCAATAACTAGTCACTGAGGCACTGCCCGTTTCTTGCGCGTAGGATTGCTCTGAATGGTGGAAACTCGCCTTTCCTTACATAACTCATCTAGGTGATTTTTTATATTCTCTAGTGTTTCCTCTAATTTCTAGATCCTGTCTTTAAGTGCTATTGTTTCGCTTAGGGATGTTGTGTTCTGCGCTAATACATCGGCGAAGCCATCTTGTGTAAGTCCCTTGATGAAATGTTCGATCTTCCTATTCATTCTGGTTAGCATCTTGGTTTGTCTACTTCTAAAGTAGGCGCGGAATCTAGCAATATACTGGAGAGGGAATCTGCTAGATTAAGTAGAAGGCTGTGGCACTTAGTTGACTCGCTTATGAAGGCTGTAAAATAAAAAGTCAGTAAATAAAGCCAATCATTAGTGTGGTGGAAACTCGCTCCGGGCCTTGGTGGGTTGAGTGCGAATATTGCTATACTGTAAGGAACTTCAAGTCAGCTACGATTTATCTCGCCTATTAGCCTGGCCTATAGATGACAATACCTTTTTGGTTGTCGGTACGGGGTGTTAGATCAGGGGTTTCTTGGAGTGGGCGCTGCTCTTACGTGAGGCGAGGTAAAGTCGCTTCTATCGGGTTTTGCTCTTCCACTGGATATATCATGCTAGAGAATCGTGCTTGATAATTACCTGGTTAGATTTTGAACCCTGAACGTTGCGTATACGCTATTAATAAGATATTAAGAAATCGAGAGCGAGATTTTAGGATAGGGAGGAGGAAGAGGGAGAAAAGGTTAAACGGGCGGAAATATGATTTATGCTTGTGGTGGATCACGTTATTGTAGGCACTAAGCGCGGACCGGTAAATGCCGTGATCTATGGTTATTATATATCAAAAACGGATTTACCATAGGTAAAAAGATAGTAAATGCCTAGAGGCGGCGATCTTAACTGTCCTAGTCTAGCTAGAGTAGAAGGCGATTTATAACTCACGTAACGAAAGTGCTGCGAGGGATTTCGACAAACTTATCACGACGAGTGGGGCAAAAGAGGGCTATTTAACTATGACATCTTGAATTCTCGAAGATACCAGGATATAAGGGTAGTTGAACGGCCGGTTTTATAAACCTCGTTTAATTTATATACCCCGATTTCAATTGAACGGGTACTAGAGGCTCACTTAGGGTTCATTGGATATTCGTAGACTCGATATCCACCTATCAAAAAAGTGGGACTAACTACTAGGCGAGGCTGGGCTCGTGTTGCATCGCGTTAATGGTATATGCCGGGTGCCGTAGCAGAATATATAAAAGAGCGATACGCGCCCACTATCGGAAACTAGGAGTAGGCTTCCTGCCCTCGTGCGCTTAGATGATTTATTTCATCTCAGCTCTCTATTTCTCGTCTTCTGACTTGAAATTCTGCCGTAGCATTGCGGTCCTCACTGCCCTAAGCCCCGTGAGGTTATATTCTGTGCTCCCTTATTGCCCTGAGCCCCGTGAGGTTATTTTTGTGCATCCTTATTGCCTTGAGCCCCGTGAGGTTATATTCTGTGCTTCCCCTAGCGATGTGTAAGCACCTCTCCGTGGTGCTAGGGATCAGTACTCAGTGGTCGTAAGTCGATACCCGAGGAAGCTAAGACATGCACAAAATCTGTTTACTACCTTGTTTCTCTTAATCCGCGCACAGCGGTCGTATCTCGAGCTTTCCTATATGCACTTACAAGTCGAATGGGTGATATATACCTTAGACGTAAATACCGGAATTAAACTCAAATTACTGTTCCTAAATTAAAAGAATAATAGTAAATCAAGATTCACGTTAGCTAGACCTATCTACCAATGCCATTTGACTTTTTACACTTAGAAGTACCATAATACGCTTGAATTCAGTCCTAGTACTTATAGAGAAGAGAGCTCTCTACATGAGGTGTGATATGATAAAGCCCAAGTAAGTCATTTCCAAGCCAATACACCTAAGAGTGGCTATAAAGAGTGGTTAAAAAGTGGTTAAAAAGTGGTTAAAAGATTTGTTGAAATATCCCGGTTGCTAAGATAATGAGGCTGGGATCACGTGCATACATATATACCTACTCACCAGCCTACTTGTATCTTAGACAACATGCAACAATGACACATAATCAACTCCCCTTAATAACATGAATACTGAAGCATCACTTATCAATCAATAAGATTAATCAGGGACTATTAGGACGTTAACCTTGGTCATCTCCAGCATTCGTTCAACGCATCTAAGAGCACTCTTTGACTTAGTAAGTCCGCAAACAACTGCCGATTTAGGACTATTTTGCGCCCTGGACTACCCATATATAAAACGCGTAGACTACCTGTTAAGATATCAACGCCCGCTATTTCTCCCTGCCGTTTACATAGGCAGATAAATATTAGCTCGAAATATTACGCTACTCACTTATTCTTTTCTGCCATAAATATGCATAAGTCAAAACTTACTTTTGGCCAGGGCTTTTGGTCTTCATTTTCAATCTCCACTAGCAGGAAATAATTCGACGTATTAAGTGTCACCCTATTCATCTTTTTACCTTACCCTCACTAATATATATGGTTAGGGAAGCAACAATTGAGAATAAACGGCCCAATATTAGCCAAAGCACTCGCTATTTTGAGGGCTTAAAATGGTCTTCTAAGTCAGTAGCTTTCATATTTTTGTACCAAGCACCCATGGCTGACAGGACGGCAGGTCCGTGAGAATGATTTTTTCCCCTAGCTCTCCCTCCACTGACACTCTCATCGTATTTCTGCTGATAGCAGCGGTGGAAACTGAAGTTGTCCATGAACAGAGAGGAACCATTCAATTTCTCTAGTCCGTTCCATGTTTCTGAGAGCATCTGCAATTTCCATTGTCTTCTATATTTATGTCTAGTTTGACCTCTTGTCATGCCTCCACGATCCTAGAAATTTATGCTGTACGAATGCCTCCTCTGGAATCGATCCGTCATTTGTACTGTTGGAATGTGACTGGCCTATTCCAAACCCATCGATTGGCAGTATTAAGATATCCCCCATAAGCCTCGGTTCCGTCAATCCACTTAAGTTGCTCAACGACATAAGATCCGGCTTATACTGCTGCAATTGTCGGAAGACGCCATCTGTCTAAACAGATGGTCCAGTCAATTTCATGACTTCCGATGAACTGATATGGAGGTCCGAGAATGTTGTTTTTCTTGCAGTTATGAAGTTTTCTAGGGTGGTCACAACCCAATCTATCATGTAGCGGAAGAGGGGATGCCTAGGAGTTGCAGCAATGGTCCACTAGCAGAATTGTATATCGGGATGAACCTCGCCCTAGTTAGGCCTATTAAGGCGATCGAATTCAATCCCTAGAACAACTCGAGCGTGTTTCTAATATTTTTCAGGTACCTATAAATCAATGGACTTCAAGTCAACGGTATCGAGATCCGAATAGACACCGCCTTTAACTGATAAAATCAGGTACCTTAGTAGGTCTGACTTCATTCCGGTGTTCTTAAGCTCTTTGAAGATTCTTAACAAAGTTGGATTTTCCTGAAAGTGCTGGCGCATAAGTGCTTCTGCTCCTTCGTCTCTAACCAAGGTGTATTCGAAGTCGCGGTTATGAGCCAGCCACGAGACGATATCTGATAGTTGCTTAGGGTTGACTTCAAAATTGTTTGTGCTGACATCCGGCGGGCTGAGATATATCTGCCATATATTTCGTGGAAATAAAGAGGCCCAGGCCTGAGTTAGAAGGACTTGGTTCGTTTCGTTGTTGGTGCTTGGCTTGGTCGGAGGATCGAGATGATACTGGAGGGAATAATGAAGTAGGGCGGCCACTATAAGTAACCACAAGACAATCAATAGCCCGACTTTTGGTATATGCTTCTGAAGCCTCGAAAACCGGAAAATGCTTTTAAGGCGCACCACAAAAGATCGGAATAATGAGGGGAATCGTTCTAGCCGCTCTTTGAACATCTTGCCGAATCGCTGCAGAATGAGTGTCATGGAGAGCAAGGTCGAAAGATGTGTTAAAGATCATATACAGGTTTGTTGCGGCTTTTATCTATATTTGCAGACTGGGCCTTCCGCATAATTTAGTATACCTGCACTTCGCGGGAGACTTCTTTCCACAGCCCCGACGTGGTTCCTTTTCTAACAATAGTGTAGCCATATTCAACACAAGTAAGTTTAAACGGCGTATGCCCCGCAACCGCCAAGAGGTGTGCATCGGTCAATGTTTTTGTCTAGTTGCCCGTTGAGTAAACGGGGATTGTCTTTGCTTCGATGATGGAGCATCACATTTGGACAGCAGTTATCTAACACACCGCTAGACTGCAATTCGAGTAAACATCGTTGGGTGCAAAATTGCGCATCGTGATACCGGGCCTGGTTGCCTTGATTATTTCCCGCGTCCCGTTGACGGCCTGCTCGTTGGGCAGATGGGGAGGATGTAACTTGGCTGAAGCCCCAATTGCTTGGTTCGAATCGGAGCCTGATGAGTCTGGCGACTGCGAGCGACGATGTACAGCCGAGGGTGCACAGCTGGTCTGAGATCTTGTAGGCACTCGGTGAGCCACTGCCTTTGGAGGATCCGGTGGAGATGATGGCGGTTCATAAGCTGAACCGGAATCAAGACTCGTGTACTTTAAGGTTGTGCTATCGGAGTGGGGAAGAGTCTGTGGCAGTTATGCTTTAGGAATCTGGGAATGAGTGTGGTCAAAACTGGTCGTCCAAAGAGGAAGCCCTGGTCGTGCGGAATTTCGCTATTCCTGGCCACGCGCAGGTGAGCGAAAGGCCAATCTTCTGACCAACTTTGACCGTAACGCGCATCCCCGAAGACCTATACGGTCGAACGGCTTTAAAAAATAGTGATCGGCGATATCCTTACTAAGGATGTATATTGTACACCTAGGCAACTGTAGGAAGTGCATACGAAAACACGGGTTCCGCAAGTCCGATCGGGGGGGGGGGGGGGGGCGGTCAAAGCTTCCATCGCCCCAGCTGGACCCTTGCTTATGTTGTACATGTCTCTTTCATCTGAAATCTTTAGAACTATAGGCATCAGGGAGGTAATTTTTCTTTCTTGTTTTAAACTACGGGGTTGCAATCTAGGTATATCGTAAACATGAAGATCATGCCATATGTTGATTTATTATTCTCAATTCTAGATCTTTGGTTACGTTGATTATTCGAGACGTAATTCGAGACATACGGCATTTGATCACTCTAGGGGACAATGATCGGCAAGGGATTAAAAGCCCAAAGGACGGGTTTTGACTTATCTGCACACTCGGCACGAACTCCCGTCGGTCCTCTCGGCTGATAAGCATTGATCGATCACATTTCTAGCATGGCTGTTCTCTTGGCATTACCAATAATAGCAAATTGTAACGTCATAAAATGCGCGGTACTTTATAAATGGAGTAATTTCTTGTTTCGTGAAAGTATAAATAACTTGTAAAGCTCCCTTCTTGTTGTACTGAATAACAAGGGCTTCGGGAGCGAATTGGGGATATGGTGCTGGCTGAATTAGCTAGTCTCAGTTCATGGCCTACATACTATGTGGTTCATGGACGCGTTTTGAGATGAGTGGGCCACTAGTTGATAGGAGGTCAGGGCAAAAAACTCAAAAGGTGGACCATATATGTGTGAGATTACGAACAAGGTTAAAGGATGGCGATCACTAACATAGGACACTGATTGTTATGCGTCAAATCAGACCCGAATTGCTTGACAGGCCAATAGGAAGAGTCCCATGTCTGAAAGGATTGTTATAGTTTCGTGAAATTTCCTGTTAATCGTCCAGTGGAATACCGAAATTTTACGTACTCAAGGCGATCGTCAAGTCACCTTCATCTATAAATGATATCCCGTGAATTCGCAGTCTGTGAGTTATATGGTAACCGTCCTTAACCACTATGTATACCGACACCAATGACTCAATGGCTTGTAACGCCCCTATCGCCGTCAACGGTAAATTGGGTCGAGCTCACTTTGCGCGCATATCTATCGATATAGAGGGCAGTCTTCACTTGCAGTGCTCTCAGTCGATTGCCAACACATTCCAAGGGTCCCTATCTGTACAGTTAGCAGATACCTTTTTGAAAGCAATCGCGATGTCAGAAGAGGTTGGTTCGCCAATAACTCAAGGTGAGCTTCATATTGACTGCAAGGAGAGTCCGATCAAATGACTGATTTTAGCTCAATTTCTAGCACCACCTCACCAAACCACGCCGAAAATGAGAAAAGCTTCTCCCTCACCACGAACAATCCACACTACCTGCAAGACGGGATTAGATGATAAAGAGGGCACACGAGATTCCCCATCAGCTAGTCTATCTCCGTCAACAGTAAGGGCAGCCCACATAGAGCCTTCGCCTCGTTGGGACACACAGAGCTTGGAATGCACAAAAAGAAATGTTTGGAGCAAGGACAACAGAATGTGGAGGCCGGAAGTCGCGATGTCTATCAAAGACCGCGCTTTGCTACGGAATTACTACACAAAGGCATTTCACAACCTGCAGCAGACGAATTGCCGGGCACTTGCAAAAGCTTATATTAAGCTGGTGGAGCCTCGCAAGCAGGTATGCTTTCCATACAACGGGCGGGTCGTTGTCGGAGGGGCCATTCGGCAGCTTGACCCGGACGCCGCTAAGCCGCCGTGGTGGCCTCCTAGAGTGAGGCACCGAGAGCCTGATCATCTTCTTAAAGGGGGTAAGAATTATATAAAGTTTGGCCTCTAGAACATGACTAACCGTGCATAGAGCGCATCAGGCTTCTAGTTCATATTTTGTGTGAGCTATGTACTAGCCACGGTATTACCACCAAAAGGCTAAGGGAGGCCGACCAGCCAATTCGCCGGTATATAGTCCCGGAAGAGCGAGTATGCATCTTGGATGAGGTCTATCGGGTTCGCCAAGAAGAGGTGGAATCACTAGAGGGGAAGAGAGGTATGCTATTCTGATTGTCTAGTCGCGTTAGCTGCCGGTAAACTAAATATTATTTACAGATGGACAACATCAGGTGTGGATTTGTCGCATGAACCTACCTGAAGCAGTAGGGACCAAATCCAACAATAATGAACATAACGGCCACGACATCCCTATCTCGAACAACCCATCTGCATGTGACAAGTCAGGCTCTATCAACAATGCTCCACCGGCACTATTTGCACCCGTAGTAAATCTTCCGGCTCATTCCCCTCCAAACGATACCTATGACGTGCAGAGTCACTTCCTTGGAAAATACGCAAGCCCAGATCCCAAGACCATATGTGGTTTTGGCACGACTATGCCAATATCAATGTCGCCGCAAGGTTTGAAGAGGAAACGTGAAATTGAAGAGATAGCTCAAGTCGACGCAACCAGGCATACCATGTTCACACACGATTTCTCTCCTGCGGTTACTACTGATCTCCAACCATATCCAGTAGAAGCTCACGGCGGACCTTGGAGCTCCCTGCAGCAAGGGTTCGTCCCGGCTGGGCCCTATACAGCAAAAGATTTGGCTCAGCCTAATGAGGCTCGCGATATCTCTTACCATTTTGGCTATTTATGACTATCAATCTTTGGCCAGTCCAACTGTTTTCTGGGAAGCAGTGGAAATATGTTATATGTACTCCGGTGGCAATCCTGCAATAATTTGTTAGTCGGCTTTGTATTTATTGGCAAATCAGTTCCCGATTAGCTAAAGTAAATGAAAAAAGCTTCCGACCGCGCCTAAGGCTGATGATATAAGGCAACGATATTAGCAAGATCACGACCTGAAGCAATCCAGGAATAAATATTTAGTGGTCTGTCTGCCATAGAGAGGAAACTGTTAGGAAATCATGCTTAGTGAAGTTGAACTTCTCTTTCTTTCAATCTGTGATGGTTCCCTCTATAGTTCAACCTTTTTTTAGCTGTAAACAGCGGACCTGTGAATTACTGTATCCGGTTAGTTTTGCCAATTTGGGTTTAGCGCCCCAATACGCCGTCACGTAATCTCCCTTCCATGCTCCCGACATAAAAGATCCGGCTTCGCTGCTCTTCCTCCCCCTCTCACTTTTTCATTCTTCCTACCCCTCTATCTTGCACTCATCGCCGCCCCCAATATTTTACTCTGGCCCCCACAGACTACTGCGCATTTGCTTTCAGCCCGACGCACTGCCTCCTTCATTTTTACCGGAGATAGAGACCCAGTAGATTCCAAGACCGCGGTCTCAAGACCTGCCAGGCCAATAGAATGTTAACTTATATCCCCTACAATTCCACGACCTGCTAAGCCATAAGTCTCAGAGCTAAAGACGCCTGGTGACTTGAGACTAGCTCGAAATCCAGATATGGCTCTTATAACCGTCTGTGATTCAAGGGGTCTATACACTGTATGACTAGGGTTGGCAAAAAAAAGTTTGTATACTTTCATTCGACATCATAGTTCCATCGAAAATCCTACCACTGGAACTAGGCGCAAGAAGCAAAAGTATGGCATAATGAGGACTACTATGTGTGCATCCATGATCTTACATACAAATAGTCCAGGTCAACGAGTGTATGCGAGATAGCAGGATAAATCAAGTAGGCTGGCCTGTACTTGACATCGCACCATGAACGCATTTTTCAACCAAAGTAAAATCATCCTTTAGACGGCAACACAGAGATCCCAAATTGTGAACTTGTGAACCGATTCAGTTCCAGCCCCTCAAGAGAATCCTCCAGCTTCTCGAATACGGATGCGAAGGAGGAATCAGAGCAGCGGTGCATAGAGCTGGATCCATAGCTGGAATAGCCCGAATAAATTGAGGATGAAACATACCATCCTGGCGATCTGAATGCCATTACCCTCTGCATAAGAGAATTGTAATCCAAATTCGGAAAAGGATTCTCAGGCTTCGGTAATAGCAGGTTGCTTGACTGCATCTCCATAGTAAGAGCCCCATACATGATTGAGCGACATTCAAAACGACAGCCCCGAGTGCCGTGTAAAAAGGCATTGCGTGTTTCATGAAGAAGAACAATCAAGTTGTTGATAGCCTTCTCTCTAGTTTCGTTCATTGAGCCTGTATTACCATGAGTTTTCAAAGAACTTGGAAGAATCCGTCTATCCTTACCTATGACATTGTCTGGGATCGGAAGTCCCAAATTACCAATTTGGCCGTCGCTCTGTGACATGGCAATGGAAGTCGATAATTTGAATTGGGAAGGGAGTCGAAAAAACCAGACCATCTCCATGTCGTCGTTGAATGCTACCACCGCGGCCCCCAAATGGCCATTTCGTCCTGAGGCGTCTGAGTAGACGACGATGTTTGATGTTGAGCGGATGGACTCGGCCTGCTCTCTTGCTACCTCTCGGTCTGAATTGACTTCGATTTCCACGAAGGGATCGAGTCACCATGGTGGCAATGGCCGTGGGTCGATTGTCTCTAGTTCGTTGAGCCTTTCTATGTCCATGGTCTTCAGCGCTTCCGCCAGTGGGAAGCGAACGTATGACCCGATATTGTTTCTACGTTTTTGGGCCCGCGAGAGAGTATCCCAAATGGGATGTTCCCGCGGTAGCGTATGGAGATTTGCAATGGTGCGTTGGGCTCGGTGGCGAAGATGGAGGTGAGTGGGAAGGATGTGCGCTTCTACTTCTAAGGTTTTTGTGGCCACAGTTCTGAATGCCGACAGGATGCGGATCAGCGGGGTTCTCTGCACTGTGTTGAGGTGTCGAAGGTGAGTTCTGTCTCTCAGTGGATCGTGCCACACGGTTGATGCATAATCCACGACCGGCGTGACGCATGCCTGGTAGAGCTGTCGCATCTGTTCTGCGCGCAGATGTCGTAACCCGCCCAGAGCAACGGTGACTTTGGTTGCGCGTTTGATCGCTTGTTGTACGTGTTCTTTCCACCGCATCTCCTGGTCGAAACTCACACCCAGTAACTTAGCTGTGGGAGAGGACGAGACTGCCGTTCCGTTCACGATTATTTGACCTTGCAGGTGTTCGGCTTTCTTTCTGGTTAGGTGGATGAGCTCGGTCTTCTGGGCTGCGAAGCAGGACCCAGTTCTCCACGCCCACTCTTCGATGCGGGGGATGTCTTCGGATTGTAACTTGGTCAAATTCTCCTCTGCTGAGCGGCCCACTCTCCAGCGGAAATAGTCATCGATAAATGCCGAGGCGCCACCGTGAAGGGTGACGGGTTGGTCCACTAAGTCGGCGTTGAAGAACGCAAAAAGGATAGGGGAGAGGGGCGACCCTTAAAAAACTATACAGGATGGATCGAAATTAGTTTCACCACTTGCACACGGAGAATCTATCTCGAACCCTCTCTTGAAACACGCTATACTTCTTACAGTTACTCTTCCCCTGAACCCCTGTCTTGGCAGTAATTCAATACACGTGTAAATGACAGCATAAAAATAGCTTCTGTATTAGACCTGTATGGTTCTTAGTGTTTTTTGAACGTTGACCCTGCAAACAGGTCAAACACAGGGGTTGTCTGCTCTTCTCGTCTGGAGATGTGGCAGGAATTCGAATTCCACTCCCGTAAACCGCGCACCGCTATACCCCAAGTTGATGATTAAACCACAACTGTATACACAAAATTAGAGTTGGCAGAGAATTGAGTAACTTTTGTAGATGGTAGTATGTATATATTGTCACTTCAAACGGTGTTTCAACCAAGTTAGAAGTTATATTTTCTCTTGATCAGCTAGTGGCTTGTCAATGAGAAACTGGGGATAAACAAGGCAGCCAGTCCCGATTTCACGTTTCACAATTTTGCACCGAGCCCAATCGGAAAACGGCATGCAGACAAATATCCTTTAAATTACATTGGTAACAAATGATTGCAGACCTGCTAGCAGAGTAGAACAACATCTTTCCACGCAATACCGGAAGCCAGTCGGACTGGCTAAAAATGGCTAGTTATCAATAGCCTAAATGATAAGAGATATCTCGACATTCCTTCGGCTGTGCCAATGCTTCCGTTGTAGAGGGCCCAGGCGAAATGAAGCCTTGTGGCAGGAAGTTACAAGGTCCACCGGGGTATTGTACTGGATAGGGTTGGAGATCACCAGTGACCGAAAGAGAAAAATCGTGCGTGAATACGGCAGGCTTGGTGGCGTCGACATGAGCTATCTCTTCGCTTTCGTGTTTCCTCTTCAAACCATGCGGCGGCATTGATACCGGCACAGTCATGTCAAAACCACGTACGGTCTTGGGATCCGGTCCTGCGTAGTAGTTCCCAAGACAGTGACCCTGCACGTCATAGGGATGGTCCAGAGGGAAGTGGGCCGGGAAATTTGCTACGGGCGCAAATAATGCCGGTGGGGAATTGTTAACAGAGCCCGACTTGACATATGCAAATGTGGTATTCGAGATATCGGTGGGCGCTGCATCAAAAGGGATGCTCTCTCCGTTATGATCATTGTGGTTGGATGTGGCTTCCACTGTTTCGGGCAGGTTTAGGCGACAAATCCTAACCAGACGTTGTCCATCTGCAAATAGTAATGAGATTATGGGCAGCTAATGAGACAAGACTCATAGTAACATACTACTTTTCCCCTCCAACATATCCAGATATTCCTGTCTAACCCGGTAGATCTCATCTAAGATAAATACTCGCTCTGGTGGGAATATATATCGGCGAATTGGCTGGTCTGTCTCCTTCAGCTTTTTGGGGGTGATATGGTGGCTAGTACGCATTTCACACAATATATGAATTAGAAGCTCGATACGCTCTGTTGACAGTCGGTCATTTGTCAGGCACCCAATTAGGGAAAGTTCTTACCCTCTTTGAGAAGATGGTCAGGCTCTCGGTGCCTCACTCCTGCAGGCCACCAGGGTGGCTTGGTCGCCTCGGGGTCAAGCTCCTGAGTGAACCCTGTGACGACTGTCCGCCCGTTGTACGGAAAATAGACCTGCTTGCGGGGCTCCACCAGCTTGACATAGGCTTTCGCGAGGGTCCGGCAATTCGTCTGCTGCAGGTTGTGAAATGCCTTTTCATAGTACCTCCGCAGCAAATCACGGTCCATAACAGATATCGTGACGTCCGGCCTCCACATTTTGTTGTCAACGCTCCAAACATTTCTTTTGATGCGTTCCGGACTCCGCATGTCCCAGCGAGGCGAAGACTCTGTGTGGGCAAATCCTACCGTTGGCAGAAATGGATTAGCTGGCGGAAAATCTTGTGTGTGCGCTTTTCCATCTAATTCTGTCTTGCGAGGGGTAATGTGGGCCATTCGTGGTGAGGGCGAACATTTTCTCATGGCTGGCGTAGTTTGGTGAGGTGATGCTAGGATATCGTAGCATGTTAAAATTGGTAATTTAATCGGACACTCCTGTCAATGTAAAACCCACTTTGATATATTGGCGAAGAAGCTTCTTCTGACATCGCGACTGCTTTCAAAAAGTTATCCGCTAACCGTACGGACAGGGATCCCAGGAAGCTGGTAGCAATCGACCGAGAGCACTGCAAGTGAAGGTCGCCCTCTGTGTCGATAAATATGAGCGCAAAGTGAGAACGACCTGATTCACCGTCTATGGCTATAGGGATGTGACAAGCCATTGAGTCATTGGTGTCGGCCTTCATGGTGATTAGGGATGATTACCATAGATACCACCGATCACGGATTTTTTGGTTTTCATTTATAGCTAAATGTGACCTGGAGATCGCCCTAAAATGAGGGGATACACTGCTTGTATCCGTCGAGAAGGATCTTGATCTATCATTCCATTAGTCAGGGTTAGACATGAGATGCTTCCTATTGGCTTATCAAACAATGCGAATGGAATCAGCACCAATTAGGTAAGAGACGATGGTTTGCGGCGCAAACGAGCTAACAATGGGTTGACTCACATACGAACTGCAGGCTCAGAATGCCAACTCTGGTCCACTAATGTGGGACTTGATGACGCGACTACTGAAGGCAGGCAGGCAGGCATGCTACCACTTAACGGTGCCAAGCGCCCATCAGGTGTGCCAAGTGATGTTAAGCACCTAGCAAAGCTGCTAACACTGGATAGATGCAAATATGGGGCTGGCGGTAGGTTATCCCATTACAGACTAGTGGCTTTTAAAGATATAGACATTGCGGGTAAAACTTCTTTCGAGTATAACTGTGCTGGTGCTTAGGAATACAAATATAGTAGTGGTAGGCTGTATATCGTTTCAACGAGAGGTTAGCGTAAATGAATTACAAACTGTACTGGTGGCCTGGAATAAGTCGGGACAACAGATCATCCATGTCATTCTACAAGCAGCCAGGAACACCAAGACCCACGGCACATCGATACGACTACAGTGGATACCCGGACATTGCGAAATGCCCGGGAACGACACTGCCGATTTGCTGGCCAAAGAGGCAGCCATACCGGGAAAAGCACACCCGTTCTGCTCTTCGCTATCACGCGAGAGGGCACACATTAGGCAAGGGATCCACGCCCAATGGAAGAAAGAATGGAACAAGTCGAGCACCGGCGCCCATCTGCGTCAGATTGACGACACACTACCGGCCAAGTACACTAGACGGCTCTATGACTCTCTGCCTAGAAATAGAGCGTAATTATTAACGCAGTTGCGAACTGGACACTGCTAGTTGTCAACATACGCAAAGGCTTTCCGATTCCGTGACGACGATCTGTGTATCTGTGGTGAGCGGGAAAGCGTTCACCACGTGTTGTTAGATTGCCCAAGATTGGGAATATTACGGAGAGAGCTCCGAGAAAAGGTTGGTGACGCTTTCAACAGCATATCTACACTTTAGAAGGGTGTCCAACACCAAGGTCAGTAAAGCCAGTAAGATGTATAAAGTTCCTAGATTTAATATGAACAGCAATAATGAGGTCTAAGCAAGCATACAAAACTCATACGAAAGCAGCATTTCAATCTTCTGTTTACATTGTACTGTGAGACGATATTTGGTGCATACCGAACCAAGCATTGCCTAAACGACAACTGAGAATACCCTTGCAAGCCAAGCAGACCAGACAGGGGATGACCGGACCAATGTTTCAAAAAGCCTTATAGGGTATAGTCTTCAAAATGCTCTTGTACGCGTCAGTGGACTTCCCTATGTCATGATATGAAGAATATCGTCCAATTTTTTTGCTTACCGACATAGAAGACGTTTGAATCGGCACGTGCCTCAACATTCATTCCGGAGCATGAAAGGGTCCCCAGCAAAACCCGGAGTCGCCATGACCCTGTCTGGCAAATGGCGAGATCCTCAAAAACTGCAATACCATGCGTATGTTGGTCGGGATGGAAGTACACGTTAGAGGTCAAGCTGCCTTGTAGTCCCCCGCTTGTTGTAGCCCCGTATTCCTCGACGAGAGACACATTGACAACAAACACTTGCGTAGACGCCCTTAAAAGTCTCCTAGACTCTCTGAAAATCACCATTACGGATACAGTAAGAGAAGCTCCATGCTGTACGATTGAAGTGGGTTCTCGTGAAAATCGGATAATTGTGTCATAACCAGGCAAACATCCCTGCCCTTTATTAGCCTGTGGCATTGCTTTTTCCTTTTTTGTCTTGTCTGCCGTGGGAAGGGCTACATAGAATGAAGCCTGGTAGTGCAGGGAATATCTAAGGGAGGGCGCAAGCATACAGTAACCAACTAAACCTATCTAATAACATAACTAATGTGCATTCTCTGTTTTCGACTAGGCTTATGTAGGGGATCCGAAAATATTGCCAGTGATCGATTCCTTTAGCGCGAAAGAGTAATGTGGCTTTCTTATTGATGGGATTTGCATCCTTCAGCAGAATGCTGTGTTGGTGGTAACATCGTTCCAGCTCCTTCAAATCCCGTTCAAATCCCGACCTGTCCATGCAATCTTGTGAAGCTGGAACCCAGCCTCCAATTGAAGTCACTCCACCCTACATTTCAGTATAGGCTTATTCATTTCATGAACTTGAATAATAATGCGTTCAAATTGGGATATCTTTCCACTAAATCTGCTTCAACAATTGACCGGATAGTCAGACAGGGCAACCCGCAAGGGTGGGTTGGTAAGACGGCTAGTTCGTTAATCAACGATCCAAAATCGAGAGCGAGAGCGAGAGCGAGAGAGCCTTAAAACTAGAATTTAGAACCGCAGATGTTCGAGACCCTATTAAGACAGATTTTTATATAACAAAATTCTTCCCGGGCCCCATTGGGCACTAGCAAGTGGTCTAGAGCCCCACCCGGAATGCCCGTCGTGCCTCCCCGTCGTTGAAGCTGTGGGGCAAAAGAAAATGCACTTTCTGTCTGTATGACATCCGAAATTCTGTGCTTCATGTCTGTCGAGGATCGACCCTACGTGCTTATGGTTCCCCTCGCCTGGGTTTTGGGGTCTGGAAATAAGGAACAAAGTTCTCTACCCAATCTGCATATGTTTAATCGTGCACCCAAGCCCGTATGATATCTGTTACCTTTTATGAATGATTCACCCATTGTATACACTCAACTCATCTGGATTATAATTTGATTCCACTTCGGCTTTTCTACTCTGTCTACATCCCTGCCCCCTTTTGTCCATTGTAGTTACCGCTGTGCACATACAGCTTTGTTTTATCTGCACTCTCCTCAACATTCAATCTACGACTCATCGACCCCAATCTAGATAAGAATACGAACCAGCCGTGATCTTCCAGTATACATCTTCTTAACATACTTTGAATCACTTCAACTCACTCGTTACTGCACACCTATCACGTATTTCTCGATGGCCAACTATGATGTATGAAGCAATGGGTTCTAACATATATAATGGGGGTTTTCCCTGCTGCAGAATTGGATCGATAACTGTCCTCACTGCTTGGCTGAATATCATATTGCCATGGAGCCTTCATCTGAAAAACCGGATGAATTATCATTCGACATCAGCTCCCAATGGGAGCCACACGATAATGCCACCACTTTCATCGACAATTCCAACCACCTGGACGAGAACAAGGTGTCAGATTCAGACATGGATGCGTACGAGCCGAAAGTCGAAGAATGGGTGCTTGCCCACAAAGTGCGCCGCTTGAATGGGCGAGAGATCGAGGCTGGGTTGAAATCAGCTAGCATCAGGCGGTATTGTTGCCGGCGAGGTCATTGCACCCAACCAAAAAAGAGGAACATAACAAGCCGAGGAACGGATGCATGTTCATCTCTTTCTGACCATCTTTTACTTCCTCAATGCGCATTCCCTGTAGGATCGAACGGCTACTTTTTAAAATACTGATCGGCGATATCCTTGCTAAGGATGTACAGCAGGAGGAAGCGGATACGTGTGGCAAACCCCCTCCCCGCGCCAGCTGGACCCTCGTTTACATGGATGCCTCTTTCACCTAAACTCTTCGCATAGGGTCATAGATCAACATCAAAGAACTAGTTTTCTTTTCCTGCTTCCAACCGGCAACGCAAGTATGTCGTAAATATGAAGGTCATACCATATGCTCAGTTATTCGTATTCTCAATTTCAAATGTATTGGTTTGTTATGTTGATTGTTCACGACGTAAGCCGAGACATACCGGATCTGCAAACATCACCCTAGGAGACAATGATCGGCAAGGGAGATCAAAAACCATAATGACGGGGTTTGAATTTCCTCCACACTTGGCAGGAACTCCCGTCCACTCGGCACCAACTCCCGTCCACTCGGGGCACGAACTCCCGTCGGCTTATGTTGAGCATTGATCGATTACATACATTTGTACCATCTCCGTTCTCTTGGCATTACGAAGCATAACAAATAGTAAAGTTATAAAATGCACAGTACTTCATGCAATGAAATAATTTTCTGAATACCCTGTAATATCCTACCATCTTGCGTTATTGAATTAACAGAGCTTCGGGAGAGCGAATCGGGGGCATGGTGGGTGGGTGAATCAACGAAATGCTAGTTCATAGACGCGGGATGAGAGCCACTCGCTTCGTTACCGATTACGGTAGATCATGGTCCAGCCCTCAGCCTCTTACGTAGTGAATCTTTTAGAAATGTACCGAAGAGCCCCATCAAAGAACGTATCTATTTGATTTATTGATGCAGAGTTTTCTGGAATTCCCAGAGTGGTTAGTAGGTGCTTTAAAATCTGCAACAAGGCGCGTGATGTGCTTTCAAGTCAAAGATAAAGACCACGAACAAAATTAGGACTTACCGACGTTATGGCGGTAAGCATAACTCCGAACAACATGACGTATGTAAAGTCTGACGCTAGATCGCCTCTAACTCTACCAACTAGCCATGAGTGTCAATGACCAAGGCCCTTATCATCCATCGGAGGTTATTCACTATGGCTTACGAGCTCTAGGAATGAGGGTTCATCATTCCTTCACATTATGCCTATTGAGCGTGGGAATGGGACAAAATTCACTTTTCTCAAGTTGCGCTCTGACTGGCATACTCTAATATCCACGCCCACAATATTTGTACCTGATAATATCCTTCGTTGCTTGTGTTAATTCTCGGTCATTAAGCACGAAACTTGTCTTTCAACATCTATAGCTTATCGGGTAGGTCGATTCGACCGTTTGAGGCTCCGTCAGGTCAAGTTTTTCCTAGGTTTTCACTAGATTCGTGGATAGGACGAGGGTATTGAGACTCCTGTACTAGTAATTAGTCAGGATACCTTATTTAGGTATAAGAAACAACATGTACCAGATTCGAAAGGTCTCTGAGCCATTGGTTCTGCATGGAGGCATCAAATATATATATTTGCCCATTCTTTCGGATTCGGACGGCCATAAAGACATCGGATTCACATTCCAGGAAAATTTCCTTCGCTTTTTTGAACAAACTTCGCTTACGCCTATATCTTTGCTGAGATTTGGCTCTAACACTCTCTGACTGACGTTTTGCGACCATGGTTTCTTCAGCATAAAATACACACCGAAAAGAAAATATCATCTGGCTCGAGCTAGAATAGCCTATTATATATTCCTAGCCGGGTCCCTAAGGGCACCGTCACTATCGTTGTTGTCTCGTGGGTCAACCAGCGAGCGCTGGGTGTAGATGCGGACGCAATTCCCTTCTTTTTCGGTTCGTTGGTGTGCTGGTTGGGTCGAGGTGCTGTTGCCACCGACGGCCACCGCAGCCCATGACCTGTTCGGCGGTGTAGGTGGGGGAGTTTCGACTTGTGATCGCAGCGATCTAACCTCCTCGAAAAGTTTCTCATTCTGAGCTAAGAGAACGTTCTGATCGTGTTTCACCTCTTGAAGCTCATCTTTAGTCGCTTGGATGAGTGTAGTCTGATGGTGGATGATGTCCTTTAGACCGTCGATGAGTTGGCGGACCTCCTTGGTGGTCACTCTTCCGGTAGGCTCGCTTTTACCAGCGAACTCGGGGTTTGTCCGTGCTGTGGACGTAGATTCATCACCATGGCGAGGCTGTCTTCTTTTGCGGGGAACTATCGACGGCTGAAACTCCTCCAACGAGAAGAGATTGGTCGTCTCTTGGGTGTTTGTGGGTGTGGCTTCGGGAGCCCCTGCGGGTGGGTCCGCCATCGGTCTAGGGTTAGCTCCCGCTCGGTACACAACCACAACAATTTTATATCGAAGGTAATATAAACAACGTCTTTTCGATCGTCGGCTGCTCCCGTGTTACCCTTTTCCAGGGTATACCCAGTTTTACTGTACTTCCAATCTCTCTCTCTTTTTTACCCAGGGCCCCACTTCAAGCGCACTAGTTCGTACTAGGATATCATTCCGCCAGGCTTTAAATTCGTCCCTGTGTCTTCGATAAGTCCCCGTAAATTACGGTAATATCATCTCTTTTACCCTACGTTCCATAACTGGTGTCACCACCTACACTCTTTCATCCATTGTTTCTCGAAGCCTAACTGCCGAGACACGCAAGCCTATACTAGAATTTCCCCCGAAATATCCTGTCAGTGCGACCTGTATTGTTTCTTATTATATGCAATAGCTAGAACACGAGCTTTACTTCCACCCTAGAGCACTTTGCGCTCGAGGGAGCCATTTCTGTGTACAACAGTTCACAAATATCTGCACTCATGATCAGCGCCTCGGGAAGTTGTTGGACCATATCGTCATCCACCAGGACCTTCAAGCCTTTACTATTGACCCAAATTAAACGAGAGATAAGACAAGGGTCGATCTGCAGTTTCTCCGCAAGCTCGACTTTCAAATTGAGAGAAGTGCGATCCGCTAGGTATATTGCATAATAGCTGCCCTGGGGCTGCTTCCCGCTTTGAGTGAAATAGAGGTAAAAGCATGCGACTGTGATAAAGTAAGTGACTGAAAATCAAAGTTTGCTTTGTTGTGGCACGAACCAGACTTTGAACAATAATTTGCAGGAGGTGAAGAGCTTTGAGAAGTCCCAATAGAGACTTCTGGCACTTTGGGCGATGGTAGGTTGGCCTTTTTTGACAAGTCAGCCGCTCCTTGGGGGGCCAAGGTTATAGCACGTGTGCTATGTTGATTGTCCAAGAACGCATCTTTCACAGAAGTGCTTGATCCATCTGATAAACAGATAGGATGTAGATTCGGATCATCCTTCACGTTACCACGGAGACTAAGTACACTCACTGGACAGGCCGATGAAAGGATCTCGGTCGTGGTAGCAAGCGCGGAGTGAAGGTCCGTATCCTACATAGGGCTGTTGCACGAATTCCTCGACCACTTGCCTTATCCTGAGGCCGAATGTCGATTTGTCCACCGTTCATCAAACTCTTGTTGCGACTTCGTCTACCGAAATCTGCACCTGTCTCTCGGTCGATGATTTGTTTGTTGAGCTTTTCAATCCTTTTCTTGACATGTGTCTTGTCATTCGATAATTTTCGTTCGGCACCGTGATCTCCAAAGAGCTTCACCACACAGTAGCACATCTCTGGCTCGTCCTCCATGGTCTTAATTTCGCCCTCTGGCCGCATCCTAACTAATACCCCTTTCACCCCTTTTAAGCGGGTGAAATCGGTTGACAAAAAATTGAATTTCAGCGGAATCGCCGCCTCATAGACGTTCGTCGTTGTATCAACTGACCAGGTGATACAAAACCCATCAACAAAAGCTTCTTCAAGCTGTATCTGACGAGGTCCCTGATTTCTAACATCGCCCTTAGAAGGATCGGCATACTCGACAGCTAAAATCTTGCCTTTGCGCTCATATGCTTCTTTCAAGCCTCGGCCTTCTTTCCATAGCCGCCACGATGCATCCGGATTTGATCTCTGGTCTTCTTCTTCGAAGGATACATGCACGAACGTTCGATATTCAGCAAGTCCAGCCTTCTTTGGGGGTGGAATAGAACCCACGACCGTGAGGCTGTATGTTTGACCTTTATTGAGGTATGTCACTAGGCTTTTGTTGGCATGCCGTCGGGGCTTGCAGTGTCACGTTGTAGCGAAATCTATGAACAATATTAATCAACAGTATATGTAGCGTGCGTTGGGCCTAGGCGTACTTTTCTCCGTCGCCGTATGGCCAGTGCTTGTTGACCTGTGCCTCGGATGTGGCCATGTCAAAGTTTGACCCTGATTGTTCATGAATACAATCGGTCAGAATATCTTGATCGGCTCCATCGGATATGGCGTATCCAAAATCGTGGTGCATGAGAGTTCTCGATATACCGTCCGCCTTTCCAAAATATGTATTGTCACATAGCCAACGTTGAGACTCAGCCAGCGGAGTGAAACATTCGGGCCCATTCCAAAGAACCTGCGGAACGCGTTGGATTGATACATCAAGAGTGGGCGAAATATTTGTGTTCCACTGAATCATTGGAGAGTGGAGGTCTCCTGCGTTATTGTGAAAGACCGCGCCCGACCCTGGTAGATTGCGATCGTGAAATTCCTTGTGCTTTTTGGCATTAATCATCGGTGAGAATAAATCGGGTACACGGAAATCGTCGTGTTCAGGGAAACCGCTCTCTAGTCTCAATGTTTGAGCAGAATTTGTTTATTAGTGAGGTTCGTAGGAGACGAAGAGAAGGTGATTTACAATATATTTCGTAGCCATTTTATCAAGTATGTATGATTAGCGTGGTCTTTTCGTTGAATGAAAGAATAGAGAGAGAGGCCCAGGTTGCAGATTATTTTCTTAGCGGCAATCAGGCTGAGTTTATTGCTATATGTACTTCACTTGGGTTGAACCGAGAATGACGTTTTTCTGTGTCAACCGTCTCCGTTGATGAGGTGATGTAGGTATTGATCAAACCAGTATAGACAGTGCCGTGTATGGCGAGCCCTGTTTCAGGGTAACAAAACGTAATTTAAGGACGCGGGAGCAAGATATGGTGCCTGGTTAATATTGCGGTACCTGTCCCGTGACCGAATGATGACATAAATCACTCCTGCCGTTTGCCCCGAAAAAGCAGCCATATCAACAACGGATAGAGATTATTTCGTTTGGCGCAGAACTTATCGCGTCCCACCCTTCCCATCCGCCGACTATCTCTACCAGCTCCATACCAACATCTGATAAACGAGTTGTTTGAGCCGACCTTACAAAATCGCCAGGGTAACGGCTACTTGCAAGCTCCTGCGGAGATGGCGCCCCGCCGTGTTTGGGTCAAGCGATCGGCTTGCTCCGCGACCTTGGTATCATACTTGGAGGATGCAATTGTGGATGAGCTGCGCGACCAGGTGATAAGGAAATATGCGAATTCCTTAAGGAGGAAATTTGATTCTCCTGACATTGTGACCAAAATCACTCCTCGTCAGGGCTTGAACCGACAGGCCCAACAAGAGCGTCTCCTCAACCTGGATGAAATTTTGTCATCAGTGCTCGACGCATACTACCCTAGGGGTCAGACAATAGAAGAGGCGCTGGTGATCAATGTGCCCACGGGCTATACCCCGAGGCCATCACCACGTTATACATTTTACGGTCGCCGTCGTTCGGAGTGTAGCAAGCATGGCGACTACTCTCCTCTCATGTTGGAGAGTAAAGATGCACCGGTGCTACCTCCACCTCCGCGCCCACCAAGCTCGCTAGCTGGCGTCGACCCACCATCTGGCTTAATACCCACTACTGATGTGGCCCCTGGCCCCTTCGCTGCCGTCACCTGGAAGCCTTGGGTCACAGCATACTTCAGATTCGCCAACGACGCTCTGTCATGTACTTACCATGCCAGGTATGCTGATTTCTCTGCTTTTATCTTTATTCTCTGGCAGAAAAAACGACTGACATCCATAGAGCCCGGCAACTTTTCTCATGACCAAACTTCACCCGCTGCTTTGGCCCCGACTGCCCTAATCCCGCCCGCACCCACGACAGAGTCACTGCAGGCAAAGACGCACACGGCCCTGGCACCAGCCGCATCTCCACGATCTCTTCGAACAAGGAAAAACTGTTCATCGCCAGGTGCAGCCCTTGGCGGGTTGGTTGATGGCACTGTACCGCCAATCAATGTCCTCATCGTGGAGGACAACATCATCAACCAGAAGCTGCTGAATGCATGTACGAAACGACTGAACGTTCGTTGGGTGTTTGTAGTTGACGGCGAAGAAGCAGTACGGAAATGGCGACAGGGCGGTTTCCACCTTATGCTGATGGACATCCACTTGCCCATCATGAATGGGTTGGATGCTACTAAAGAGGTACGGCGGCTCGAGCGACTGAATGGAATTGGCGTCTTTTCTAAGACAGATTCTGGTCGCTCCACCGTCTCAAAGTCTCCATCGGGAAAGGGACCAGGACCTCAGCGCTCTCCAAGTGAAGAGGACACTCTGGCCAATCTCTCTGTATTTTGCAGCCCAGTGGTCATTGTCGCGTTCACGGCCAGCATCTTACAAAGCGACCGTCACGATGCACTGGCTGCTGGCTGCAACGATTTCTTGACTAAGGCATCTTTCAATAACTCCAAATCTCTCTACTTCAATCAGTACTAACTACAAAAATAGCCCGTGAGATTTCTATGGCTTGAGCAGAAGGTGACAGAATAATTGCGGGATTCGAACGATCCATAATAATAAGACTATTGATCGAGCTCTATCTACAGCTTATGCGCATGTCTCTATTGATGCGCACTAGGCTCTTTTGACACCACCCTGGACCATTTATGCCTGCAGTCCTACACGCTACTATCCAATTTTTCTAGGATTCCCACTTATGAACAGAGCATCGGCGAATTAATATCCGGCTGAACAGGGGCAACTCCTAGGGCAACTACACCCTCGAACAGTAATATCTAAATGTCAAGTCCATTGAAATGGGGATTCTCGGACGCACCTGAACTTAATGAGGGCTGTTCAGCCTTGGTCTGAGTGATGCGATCATTGAAGCTTGCTGCACCGCAAGGTCCAAACAAAAACCAAATTTGGCAGCGTTGTCGCGAGAATTTGACGTTTCTTGCCACCAGCTTCGTGCTCGAATCCAATGCTGTTAACCTCGACCGAGCCGTATGCCCATCTGCAAGAAGCAAGATGATACACAGGAACGGTCTATCACCCGGTGGATACAAGCGCTATATATATTCACCACCTACACCAAGAATGATTAAAATCTGCGCAAACCAGATTCCTGATCGGAATGCTGGCGAATATATATCACTATATCTGAGAACCGAGTCTATCGATTTATTAAGCGTCTTCTAAAGGACTTGATCCTCACTAAATATACCGATAGAATAAGATCGGCATAATTTTCCGCTCAAAAATATCTACATCTTTGACGAAACTGGCTTCCCGGGAAGACCAAATGAGGGGGAGATTACTGTATTTACGGTAACTATCGAAGATACATGGGACGAATAAAAGGCCGACGGAAAGATATCCCAATGCAGATTAATGAGCTTGAAGTGAGGCCTAATAAAGAGAGAGATTGGAGGTAAAACTGATTTCGAATATCACTGTATAGATCTTCTACTTACTTTTCGTTAAAATAGTGCAGTGGTGAAAATCCGTGCTCGGAACTTAAGTATAATGGATGCGGCTGAGAACAATATGTTTAGTCATCTCATTGGAAGCCAATCATCAAAGTGCAGTCGAATTGATTATGACCCATCAATAAAAAGGTCGAGATAACTACGATGGTATTCTGTTCCGGTAGCTCTAAATAATCGCGACAAATCTGGTAAGCCTTAATGAAATAGTCACCAACCCAACCACAGCGCCAATTGTGGCCAGATAGAGAACAAAGTAAAAGCGCAGGGGTCCCCAAGATGGAAAAAGTAGAATTTAACGCTCATGTTCGAAGACCATGAGCATCAGAAGCATGCCGCCGCAAGTGCATCTCGTGCAGGACGGACAAATTGCAAAAATTACATTTTAGGTCCGTCAGATGTGATGTCCTGAAATGCCTTTTCACTCCATTATAGTCGGAGTATGTCTTGGGGCATTGGAAGCATGCGAATGTTTGCTCTGCATTCGGGATATGTTTCCCGCCAGAGGTACATCCCTTCTCCCACGACGTATTCAGCTGCGTATCAGCTTTTATCTTTCGAGCTGGCGGAGAGGGAACGATATCCTCATTGTCGGACGGGGCAGAGCGCTTCCGTCGTCCCCTAAGGGGCCCACCTTCCTGAAAGCTGCAATATTGTATTCCAGCCGCAACAGCTTTGTTACGCCGCGTCCACTCGTCTTCTAATGAATCGGTGGTAGGCCAAGTAAAGAACGTCTCCACGAGAAGAATCTGCTCCGATGGCATTTCAAACTCCTTCCGTAATACCTCGCGCGCAGGCTCATCACTGACAGCCCCACCAGTCAGCTGTCTTTCAATGTCAATCACCGCCTGTTTCCGACTGAAATCGCGGCGTGTTTCTTTCCGCCGTTTTTCTTGCAGACGCCGGCGCAAATTGTGGGCTTGTCGCTTCTGGTCCTCCAGCATCGCTCGCAATGCTGGGTTTTGAGAGCGACCAGCGCACTGGGTCTCTAAATCGACTTGCCAGCGTATGGCTGATTGCAGTTCTGGGTCTTTCTCCACTGATTCCCGGTCAGTGTCGCTCAGGTATCGTGGTCGCCGCCGATCAATCCAACGGCTCATCCGGGTCACAGCCTTTGAGAACTCTTCGTCTGGATTGAGGCCGCACATGATCTCTTGTAAGCCAGTATGCCGACGGGGACGATAATGTTTGATAAACGTTCTGCTAGTGGCGTGGGCCATGATCACATTACGCTGTGCTTCGCTGACAAAACCTAGGCAGAAGAGTCAGCCCTCTCATCTAGAGAAAATCAGAACCTTGGATATTTATAGTATACTCACCACTCTTGTCAAGTAAATCACCTCCTCCGTATCGAAATTGGTGAGAGAAGAAATGATTAAGGAAGCCATGTATTTCACTGGATGTCCTGAGTTGTGCGTCGAGTGTGCTACCATTCATAGGCGTCTCCCACAAAATGCGGGGCTGGCCACAGATCACTTCAACCTTCGGGAAGACATAGTGATTATCCATCTTTTTCTTCAAGGGAAGTAGCATTTCCTGTCGGCCACCCTCGACAAGCAGTCTCCGAAGGTCTTCCATCGATGTTAAGTGAGGCGCTTCGAAGGTGTGGACATAAAATAATATAATGAAGAGTAGGACATGCGGGCTGAAGACAAGCGATACGCCGTAGACAATTTCAGGTAGCGCGAACGTGTTGCTAAGTAATATCGATCAGTCAGTTTGATTGTAGCAAACGAGTGTGACTCGGGTGCCACCTACAGCTTCGACATGCCCAGGACGCTTTTCACAAACTGGGGCTCGAGTTCGATCATCGGCTTGGGAGGTCCTCCGTGCGGATCCTGCTGGAGCGATATTTGTAGATGCTTGAACTGAAGGTCAAGCATTGCCTGTTTTCGGTTGATGGTAAATAACCCAACAGTGTTGTATAGACATAGGATAATGCGCTGAAACCCCAAGTGGAATCGCTTCTCCCGTGTTTGAAGGATTGTCTCATTGAATGGAATCATATCTTCGATATATACTGGAACATTTGCGCGCGGTTGTTTGTCCAGACCGCGCTTATCCACCAAGTATCTCATGCCCTGTCAATCTTCGTTAGCGCAAGCCTCCTGCAGACGATTGGGAGGAAGGTCGAAAACAAACCGTGCGAACGGCCTCTCCCATCTCTTTACTCATCTCAGTTTTGGTAACTCGCTGGTAGTAAATTCGGAAGTACTTCCAATCCGCTTCAAGGGCACTGGCCTTTGTATAGCCTTTCTGGCGGCGACCATCGGGACTGTACTCCAGCTTCAGACACCAATTGAGAAATCGATGCATGTCATTTGGTGATGCCTCACGCAGTGCATCCTCCGCAAACCCCCACTTGTGATTAGTGGATGGTTCTATTGCTTTCATTTGGCAGTACCTGAAACGAGGCAAGTCGGTCAGTTAATACTAACACAGTATAAACTTTCAACGATATCCTGATCACTTACCAAGCCCAACGCTCTTTCAGTCGAAGTTTCAACTTCTTTGTTTTGTTGGATCGACCGTAATCCTCCGGCACTTGGGCCAGGTCCTCATCCGTGTCATCATCGGGCACTTGGTATCGGGCCTGGTGGACACGTTCCACATTCGACAGGTCTGTTGATAACGATTTTGTTCCAGTCTTTGGGCTTGGCTTCTTCCGAGCAATCGTTCGACCCGCTTGAAGGGAGCGCTCCGGCTCGGTGAGATCAGTCTCAGAGGAATCAGGCTCGAACGGTCTATCATTGTCGGTATCGATGGGAGAGGCACAAGAGGATTCGCTCGTGATTCCGTGGTTGCCGGTATTGGGCGTCCTCCGACGATACATGGCTAATCAATTTCGCCGAGCGTGCTAAGGAACTACCTCGGAGCTCGAGATGTGTCAACGCACGACACGACTGAATAGAAGAAAGCACGACGGAAGATCAGAGGGAGATTTTTGGAGTGGTGTTTGAGTCGAAATGAGGACAGTGTTGGACGGAGAATGGGTGGGAAGGGGATATTTATAGCCATGGCGGCTGGGAGATGGCCAGAGTGCAGCTGGCATGGGGCTGAAGGAGGCCATTTTCGGCGCCCCTCTCCCTCCCCAGTAGGCGTAGTGGAGCTACTAATGAGCGTCAGCGCGCACGAAATGGCAGCCTGAGGCATGAAGTGGTGAGTGGTGTAGTGCGTGGTCGAAGGAGGCGGGAGCGTGGCGGAGGGAGGTTGCTGAAAGACGGCCATTTTCGGCCTCACCTGCGGCCGAAAAAGGCAGCCAAATAGCAAAACGCAATTCTTATAGAGAACCTTTAGTCTTAGTATTTATTAGATATCTTAATCTTCCTTATATAGTATTTATAGGTGGTCTTATAGTTTTCTTAGTCCGACGTTATATTATAAAGGTGGCCGTATAATTAAATAGTCGTTTAATATGTTACGGACCTACCCGTCACCAATCGGCGGGGACCCACAGGGGTACACAGATGGGCCACCAAGAGCCAACCAATCTATCTGTCATCAGATCACGTGCAACACCTAATACTCTGGCACCCCCAAGTATTCAGGGAAAAGAACTCAACCCACGATCAGTGAGCAGAAGGGTGATCAGGACTGATCAAGACCCACTGTCAGGGGACTTCCGGTACGTATGTACTTCAGGGTATCGAGCAACACCTGGTCCCGACACGTGACACCAACAAGGGTAGATCTACCAGTGGGGGTAGGATATACCCCAGGGGGTCGATCTACTATACGGGGTAGGATATACTCCTCAGCACCCGTCGACCCCAGGGAACGAAGGATATATAAGGACACTCATTCATTTACTTAGTTTAGTTCTTCGTCTTCAATCATACATTGTTACTTGTGTTTACCTTTGGAACTACTGTGACTTTCTTACTTGATTATAACTTGACAACACTCACGAGCAAGACCAATACTGCGGTATAGATCTACTCGGCGCTCTCGCTGGCATCGTTCCCCGATCTCTCAAAAGGACTTAGGCTAGTGTAAGACCTGACAGGCAATAGCTCAGTTGCGACAGACCGTTGACGTTGGATACCTGAGGAGTATTAAGGCAAGTATACCCAGAACCCATCTAACCTAACTGTGACCAGTTAGCAGTGCGTAACAAGTAGATCGACCCCTTGGGGTATATCCTACCTCCACTGGTAGATCTACCCCTGTTGGTGTCATGTGTCGGGACCAGGTGTTGCTCGATACCCTGAAGTACATACGTACCGGAAATCCCCTGGCAGTGGGTCTGATCAGTCTTGATCACCCTTCTGCTCACTGATCGTAGGTTGAGTTCTTTCCCTGAATACTTGGGGATGCCAGAGTATTAGGTGTTGCACGTGATCTGATGACAGATAGATTGGTTGGCTCTTGGTGGCCCATCTGTGTGCCCCTGTGGGTCACCGTTGATTGGTGACGGGTAGGTCCGTAACACTAAGGTTAGAAAATAGATAATATATTAATTATAAAGATTAAAATAAGATATATAGTAATTTATCCGGTTATAGTACTATACTATTTAAAAAAAGGGTGAAATATAGGCTTTTACTATAGAAAATTAAAATGGAACCTATCTTGATATAATACTAGTATATTCTCTTCCCTATAATATTAACTACTAATTCTATACTATTTTAGGCTAATTTTACTTTTAATCTATTTTTTAAACGTAAGTTAATACGAATCTTAGTAGTGAGTGACTATAACTACCTCCTAATACTAATATATAAGTAAAAAATAGTAACTTATTAAAATAAGTTAGTATTTTATCTATCTATTTCAGGTAATCCTTAGTAGAATTATACTAGCGTATAGACTGCGACATCGCCCATGGACGGGCGGGTGGGCATTTCCCACGGGCCTTATGTAAGCGGGAAATGGGCCCTATAGATAGGCCCACGGGCCGTGGGCGTCGTGGGCGCCCGTGGGCCTTTTTAGTAACCAAAATTAGCGTAACACGTGATCTTTATTGATACATCTCAAAATATTTCAAATAAATTTGTATATTTTACAGATTTACAATCATAATTCCGGATTTTAAATAAGATATATATAAATATATATAGTAGAACTGACTCAACCCAATCTAATATATCTTCCGCACCGCCCACCGCGTACCGAGTCCCCTGGCGCAAACGAACAGCACTACCGAGACCATATAAGCCAACCCGCAAAAAAGGATTAATCCCCAATACTTCTCCACCCCATCGCTACTCTGCACGTTAAGAATTTCCCCGGCAATCGGCAACGACACAAGCACGCCCAGCGCCACAAAGATATACGCCGTGCCGTACCTTTTCCCAAAGTCTTCGGTATTGGAAATCTGCGCCACGCATACAGGGCTGAGACTAATAGCCGAGCCGCTCCAGAACCCAAAAAGCGCAGCGTAGCTATTGATGGCAGCCCCGTTCGACCCTGCTTTTAACCAGAGTGAGAGCGAGAGGATCCCGGAGACGGCAGTCGTCACGACCATGGCATTAAAACGGCCGTAATGGTCTGCTGCATAGCCCGGGAGAAGCCGGCCAAGAATAGAGGTTGCGTTGAGGATTGACATGAGCGTGTAGGACTGGGTTATAGTCATGCCATTTGCGCGCGCATACGAGGTGAGGTATGTGAGCGGGATGGTGGCGCCGATGTCAGCGAACATAATTGCAAGGGTAGTCAAGGTAAAAACTGGTTCACAGAGGGGGCGGAAATCAACCGTCCGGCGGCTTGTCTTGCGGTGTTCGAGGCGTGATCGCTGGAGGAGCGCGCCGGTGCTGCAAAGTGTGAGAGTAATGATGCCGAGGGTGCGAATAGCCCAGCCGAACCCTGCCGAAGACACGAGAGCGTTGAAAATTTGTGGGAAGATGATGCCGCCAATACTTCCGGCCGTTGCAACGATCCCTGTAGCGAGGGCACGACCGGTGTAGAACCAGTGGTTTACGACGGAGACGCTGGGGGTGAAGACCATGGATGCGGAGATTCCCCCGAGGACGCCGAAGCCGAGCATGAACTGGTAGTATTCTATGGGACAATTAGAGGGTAGGATAGGGGAGGGGCTTGGCGCGACGGCTGTCACATACCTTTTGAGACACTGAATGCCATAACAGCGGTCGTGAGACCAATCGTGCCGAAAACAAGCAAGTGCTTCGGGCCATAACGGTCGAATATCGGCCCTAAACCCTCATTAATCGTGCTCTTCTCACGGTGAGAGGGACGTACCAAACTGAACACCACCAACTAACAAGAAGAACATATAAACGCTGAAAATCCAGGATATTGACGAGTGCGAGTACTCGCTCAGCAGATTGGTCGAAAGCCAGTCGGCAAATACGCCAGTGCTGTTCATGAGCCCGAAAGATGGTAGACAAGCGCACCATGAGCCCAGAACCACGAGCCATGCGTGCAAGCCTCCATCCGGAAATGACTCGGGCGAGTCGTCAGCAGATGCATATTCCGTAGGCGTTGAGACTGCCTCATGCTTATGGGCGGTGGTTTCTTTTACCATAGTGTTCATTGTGAAGTGTATGCAGCAGATTCAACTCGGTTTGGTGGGGGGAATTCTCAAACAGTCCTCCGGCTCTTCATTAAAAGCACTCGAGAAGGACATTCAATAAATAAACCCCTTGCATGGGGTAAGGCTGGGGGTTCCTCCGTACATTGCTCTTTGGTACCAAGAATGGAACGGCGGGGGATCTACTAAGACCGCAGATCCATTGATTATTGCAGACCAGTCCACTGCATTCGGGTTACCAAAGTAGGCCATCCTTTGTTCGACTCAACTGGCTCTGGGTGAATGAATTTGGCCTAATATGCAGGCGATTTCGAACTATAATACAAGACAACAAACTCAATATCCTACTACAGTAGAGGAGAGCGTTGAGTAAGGGAGATTCGGACATACTGTTCGAGACAGTATATCTGCTCTGCAGCTTTGAAAATACAATGGATGTACGTAGCAAGGCCGTGATATGCCTTCGCGAATTTACTGCCAGCTTGAGTTCGGTTACCTTGATACTTTACTCCTCTCCCTGTGGGTTTTTGGGCAAACCGGTCAAAGTGAAATGAGTTGACTGCTATACCTACGAGCTGCCGTGGTATTTGTCTCGACTCTTCTACCTTGTCTCCGGAGCCGTGACCGATCCTTCCCAGACTGAGGTCTACCACTTATTATAGTTACAGAAAGAATTGCCTACGATAGCGAATTATCTTTCAGACTTTCATTAGACACGACAGGGACTTGGCATCAATCGATTCAATCTTTGATCATCTATCCTACCAGCATCTCAGGAATTCGTGAGCCGCACCTTTGGCTAAACCAACGCACTCACGCATCTCCTGTCTCCAAATAGGGGAATGACCTCTTCTCCCCCGTCTCAATGACGGCCTCCATAAATACCCGAACAAGAGGGTCCATACCGACCCGGCCAGCCCTTTCCAACCACTCTTGCGTGCTAATCTTCTCATAACTGCCTCCATAAAGCTGACTTAGACGCTCACCCAGCTCTCCAAGGGGGACCTTCACTCCGCTCGAATAGTGCTTGATCCGTAAGGCCCCCTGCCCCTTTCCGTCCTTGGATAGAGAACGAAGACCAGAATTTACTTTCAATGCCTCCCGAATGATTTCAGCAGCAACTTCTTTAACCTCCTTAAAATCGAGATACCCACACATTCCCTCCTGCGCAGGAAAGGCGCCCAGCTCCCTCGAAAACCGCACGATACAGTTCATGCTATCTGTGTTCGGCGCTTCCTCACCGATAATATAGCAAGGGCGATGGATACACACATTCAACATTGTTTTCTTCGCCACACGCTCAAGGAAGACCTCACTAGCCCATTTGGAAGCGATGAGGCCGTCGGAGCCGTCAGTTGGAGGCTTGTACTCCGATACTGAGATCGACGGGTATGATGTGGCGCCGGAGAGCAGGGTCAAACGGTTCGAGGAGATGTAGTGCATGGGTACGTGTGCGCGGAGGGCGAGCTCGGCGAGGAATATTGTTGAGTGGAAGTTTGGGGCTCGCGAAGAAGCGTAGCGGTTCATGCAGTTGCCGAACGTGCCGGCATGGATGATGAGGTCGATGGTGGTGGAGAGGTGGTTTAGGGTATCCTGGGAAAGGCCGAGGGAGGAGTCTATTAGCAGGCCCGGGTGGACTGTGATGCGGTCGGAGGGTGGGAGTGAGGATATCTGCTCGGGTTCGACAGCAATGCAGTGGACTGTCGTAATGCTGGGGTTCGAGAGGAGGGAGTGC